CATGATTCAACCATGATAGATTCCTAGAGCCAATCATTGATTGGTTCGCTGCCGTCTTTAGAGCAATTCCTGATGCTGTAGTTTCATTCATAGGGTAAGAGCTGAAGCGATAACCCCCAAAAATATCCTAAATTGATCCCCCTTTGGATTCCGCGTCTCATCCGGACCCCTGGATTCTTTAGATGCCTTGGGGCCTCTAAAGAATAATTTTGACAAGCCAGGGCCTGTCTGATTCTCTCGAACAAATTCCACAGGAGATTTAAATCGCACAAAGAACACGAGCACAAACACCCCAGGACAAACACCAGAGTCGATGTGAAAATTGATAAAAAACAACTGACCAGTAAGTTTGCTATGTAGTTGACCAGCTACTTCATCCCCTCTTGCAGCCCAAATGGGAGCACAAAATTGCATTGACTATGTGGCTAGGTGGTTGAAACGCCCAGTTTGTTGGTTCCTCAGCCAATAGTATATACGGGTCTGTGAAATAAACATCTTCATACCCAAGCAAGATATTTGCCAAGTAATTATGATGTATTGGTTAGTGCCGAAGCTATAAGCCAATTTATAACTGTTAAGGGCCAAAACTGTATGGTTTAACGGTTAGTTCCGTACCCATATTTGATCCATACCCATATTACATCGTCCCACGCGCGCCAGTGGGCGCACCTTAGTTGGCAAAGGGTCCGTGACCCCGGTCATCTCTGATTGCCTAAGGCAGTGGCTGTGCGTTTCCGAATTCTGTTAGTAATGGTGATGCAAATGGACAACTACAACTATAACCATAGTTTGTCGATAGTAATTCTTGTGAATATATAATGGAAATTGATTTTGATGATTATCGTGATTGTTATTTTCATTATTCTTAATATATATATATGTAATGATTAAAACAACAAATCAACCATATATTGGATCATTCCCCAAACGCTCCTGGTTGCTGAAAGATTCGCCTCTATGTAGATCGATCCTGCTGAAATTGCCCAAGTACCAGGGGGGGCATTTTTCCTCTTCTCAAGAATGAAAACAATGGGTGATCCACACTAATAAATCATCATAAATCTTCCTCAATAGAGATGATTTAGTTCACAAACCCCTTCCTACGCTTCGTACTTGGGGTCTGTCTGCGAAAGTCACACTAACACATACACAATCACTAAAAAACATGACACAGTGACCATAAAGAAACCCTCGGGTAATAAAATGTGGCTATCTGGAAAATCCCCCAACTAAATGTAGGTTTCTAGTTGGGAAATCATCGAATCTGTAGTTTCTGTTTGTTTTTAGTATTCCCCAAAGGTAGGACCTCTATATATTGGGGATGGTTTATTGTTGGGTTTACGTGGTTTATATACCTCATTATTACTCTTATCTTCCAAAGCTCACGGAAGTGGCTGCAATCCTACTGTAGCATGGAGGACCGCCCTGCGCCACGCAGAAGATTTTGCGCACCGCGGAAAGCACCGGGGCCGGATCTGCTTGCTGCGGCGTAGATCAGATCTGCTGGATGTTCACCGAAGGCATCGAGGTTGGTGGGCCAGAAACCTCAGAACATGTATATATATATATATAGTATGGAGGTTGTTTTATACACTCAATATGGTTATAAACTCAATGTTTATACAATATTAGTTAATAACTGTATTATATATATAATTAGCTAATATGTTTATAAACTAAATGTTGGTTGAATGATCCCTGTTGATCCAAGTACCTTCTTTTTGGGTTAGGGCTATGATTTGGGGGGGTTAGCTGCACCCTCTGAAGTATGGTTGTCCATACGGGAAGATTGAGGTCTTTATCATGGCTTATCACCTCAGGTGATGGATTTACATGGACATGAAAGTGGTTCAGCTGTTGTTTTTTGACACCTTCAGATGGGTCTTGGAGACAAATGGAAATAGAAACGTATATTAACAAACAAAAACAGTATGACAGTTGGGATATATATACAAACGCCATCCAAGAATGCAACTACAAGTGGCAGACACACCCATGCTTGGCATCTTTTGCTGGTGAATCATGTTTTATTGGTTATATGCATATGTAGTTTTTTATGTTCATGTTTTAATCAAGATTAATCAAGTATAGATACAGTCATTGATTTTGTTGTTTATATTTTGAAAACCAACACAAAAAAAACAACAAATGAATGAACACATGTCATCATGTGCACATGATTGAAATAAGTAACAGATAATGTAAATAAGTATGTATATATATATGTGTGTGTGTGTCCTCCAAGTAGTTTAACATTGTAGCTATAGAACATGGTCCATTTTATCCCCATGGACGATCTAGCCATTTGAACTGGTGATGTTCCATAGCTATGCAGCTAAATCACCAAAGGGTAACGACATCATCCACAACCAACCAATGTCCCGCCCATCTCTACATCTCGCAACCAGGGCCGTCGTCGTCAGCGCAAGCATCGCGCCGCGAATCCCGCGTCGTCCATCGTGTCGCGTCGCCGTCAGCGCGAGAAGGCGAAGCGCGGCAGCCGCGCCAAGGTCACTGGGCCCATGCCTTCCTCGCAACAGATATGGGGCGTATCTCCATATTCCTAAAATAGGAGTTTCCTCAGGGACCGCGATGTGTTTCCCAATTATTGGTTAATTTGGTTATGACAATTGGTAAGGTATGACCCATCATCCAAGTTCTCGGTTGTTACGGTAAGTTATTACACCCAAAATCATCCGAGTTATTGTTGATTAAGTCACTATATCAATGGGAAAACCAATGGTTTTCGGGTAGCCATAGTTTCGGAATCACCCAGATCTGGTGGGATTGTCTGACAATAGAGCGTCTTAGGGATTCTTGGGCATTCTTAAGGATTCCAAGTATAATCTTTTGAAATCTTTTGTTTGTTGTTGCGTTTGATAGAGTATCTTAGTTGGACACTATCGAATATTATCTTAGGGTATATCTTACTTGAATGTACAGCCAATGTGGTTATATAGGATATAGATATTATTAATGTACCAAAAAATCTATCTGACATATCCCTACCAATACAATAATATCAACCATTCCTAGAATACTCTCATCCCTCGAATAGTAAACACCCCCATGGTATGGTCCCAAATATGTGATGTCATCCCCTGATAAGCCATGGTTTATGGAGGATGTTTAATAAAGGGGGAAGGGAGTATACATTCTCATCCACTATCCCATTAATTCGAGTTACATACACTCAATTACGGTTGTATCCTAGCTGGTTCGTTGTATAGACCATTGTACCCTAGTTGTGACTACCTGACAAGACCTGATATTGCAGGTTTTTTTTTTTACCTCTACTATCAGATATGATGAGATATGATCCTGAGGCCAGGAATTGAATGAACCGCCAAATCACTGCGAACCTTACAAGCTAAGGCTATGAAATGATAGCTATATGTAAGTTGGCTTATACCCTAGCAACCAGCATTGCACCGGGTTTTATGTTAAGTAATGTTATATAAGTATCAACAAACAGAAAACCAGGGGGGCGGTCTGGTATGTTACAGGATCAGATCCCAGAAAGTCCCAATGGCCCATTTCAGCGATGAAAAGATTTTTTCCCAGACACAGAAACAACATCTGTCAAACATTAAAAGCACAATTCCTGAAATCTATGACCAAAAATCATGTTTTGGAGGTGCCAAAAACATCTTTCTCTTTCAGGAACCAGCTTCTATGACCCAGCGATCTGGATCTAGACGATCCCAAGGAATCTCAGTTGGCTCCTCTTCCTGATCCTCAACCGGCGCAATCAAACGAGCAAATCATGGTAAAGCTTGCCAGGTAGTGCCCCAGAATTGTAAGTTTTGTGCATAAACCAGTCTAGCGTATATATATATATATTTAAACATAATTCCATAAATATATATATATATATATGTAAATATATTATTATTACACATAATATATATATATATATTACAATATCTATATATATATGATATATATCTGAAATTCATATAAACATATTATACATATATATATATATACTACATAAGTAGTAATAATAATAGTAATAATAATAATGTTAAGATGTATATATATATATATGTATAATGTATAATATTAAATAATTACATAAGAAATCACATATACAAAAAGCCCTAGTGAAGTTGTAGATCAACTTAGTTAAGTACGGGCCCCCACCTTGCATCTCGGGGTGCAGTTGCGGTTCTTATATAGCACCCCCCAAAGATGGAAAATGCTAAATAAATATATATATATATCATTATATAAGCCCTATAAATCATGGCAATACACCCGCTTATGCCCTAGATACCCGGCACAAAAATGGGTGGAATAGAGCAAAAACATGCAAACGCCAGCTTACATCTAGAAGGGTTCAATGTTAACTGAACAATCATTAATGATAAACGGGCATAGGACAACTAACCAAGGACACTTGATGAAACAACATGAAATCAACATGGCACCAGCGTTTTTGCGCTTCCAAAATGGTGTTTGTGGCAGTTTGTGGCAGTTTGTGGCAGTTTGTGGCAGTCAAAATGCCGTACTTTCGGATATTTGCCATATTGATAGGTACTCGGGATAGCCTGCAACGCTTGACCAGAATTGAGCAAACTGACAGTCAGCTCATTCGATGGCAGAACAATAGATAAAACAAAATCAAAACGACGACAATGATCCCTGCATCAAACTACATGAAAATCTGTACACTGTCAAGAATTCCCCTCACTCACACATCATGTGATGTGTTGGCCGCAAATTCAGCCTCTTCGCCAGCGTTCAGTTTTCAGGTAATGTGGTACAACCCCATGCCGTAACCTCCAATTTGGAGATGGTTTAGATCACAGACATTTCTTCTGAAGGTCAACTGGGATCAAGTGGGGATAGCTTATGATTTCTGATTATACCATATTCTTTGCATGTGCATCCCATCTACCAAGAAGGCAATACAGTAACATGCAATAATCATCAATAATCACACTTTTAGAGACAGTTCTATCCAATGAGACATGGGAGAAAGCCAGCTCCATGTG